CATTTGGGACCACATCATGTGCCGATTCGGGATTCCCTCCGAGATAACATGCGATAATGGGAGGCAGTTCATCGGAAGCAAAGTAACACAGTTCCTCGAGGATCACAAAATCAAGAGAATCCTGTCGATGCCCTACCACCCGTGTGCAAATGGTCAGGCCGAGTCTACAAACAAAACCATTATCCAAAACTTTAAAAAAAAAAAATTGGAAAGTCCTAAGGGAAAATGGAGAGAAATATTGCCCGAGGTGCTATGGGCATACCGAACAACTCCAAAATAAGTACATGGGAAACACCTTTCTCTCTAGTATATGGTGTCGAGGTTTTGATACCAGTGGAGGTCGGAGAACCGAGCGCCAGATTTCGACACACCACCTAGAGCTCGAACAACAAGGCCATGACTACGGCCCTCGAACTATTGGATGAAAAGCGAGAAGCCTCACTGGTCCGAATGGTCGCCCAAAAACAAAGGATCGAAAGGTATTATAACAGGAGAAAAAACCTCCAACATCTCGGAGTCGGGGACTTGGTCCTAAGGAAAGTCACTCTCAACACCTGAAACCCTAATGCAGGAAAGCTAGGCCAAAATTGGGAAGGACCATATTGTGTCCTCGGAGTAATCGGCAAAAGGTCCTACAAACTCGGTACCATGGAAGGCAAGCAGCTTCCAAGCAATTGGAACATATCAATGCTGAAATGATACTACTGCTAAGGTATCCGATGGAAGATTCTGAAACACTATCGAGCCTGAGGACTTTGGGTTCTTAAAAGCATGTGTTGTACTCTTTTCCTTCGACCGGATTTTGTCCCTAGAAAGGTTTTACCGGCAAGGTTTTTAGCGAGGCAACATCTATATGCTACCCAAGGAAGACTCGATAAGTATTCAAGGCTCCTTTTGCAATCAACATCGAATACTAGGGGACATCCCCCCGGAAGGTCACCTACTCGGAGAAGCCAAGGTGCACTAAATGGGGTCCCGATAGGGAAGTAATGTACCGGGCCAAACGATCGAACGAACCGTGCCCGTATAGAACAACCGAGCCTGTAACAGCAAAAACATGTATACATGTACCAAGTAATCAAACAACAGTTTCTCCTTCATCAAAGCATTTCACGCTTCAAGAAAGCTCGATATTTTTTGCAAAAATGGCCCTAGAGCCAGAAAATGCCCCGAACACTTGGGGGCTGGAGTCAATAACTCGAATCCGTTTGACCCCCGGTTCGGAGCTTCAAAACTCATAAGTCCTCTTTGAGGAAACATCGAGATCACAAAATGGCTCTAGATCCAAAAACGTCCCAAACACTCGGGACTAGCGTCGAAAACTCAAGGCCAAATGACCTCCAGGTCGGAAAACTCCGAAATCGTAAGCCCTCAATGAGGCAATACCAAGTTAACAAGTAATGGCTCCCGAGCCGAGAAATCCTCGATGACTCGAGGACTGCCATCAATCGCCATCTCTATCGACTTATCAAAGCCCAAGGCCATAAGACCATATGTGGGCAGCCTCGGTCTCATAAGACCTATATAAGGCAACAACAATATTTGTAAGACCTCAAGCAAGGCATGAGCCACACTTGTACCAAGTGAGCAACAACAATATCTGTAAGACCTCAAGCAAGGCATGAACCATACTTGTACCAAGTAAACAAAACTGTAAGACCTCAAAGGTATGTAAAATTTGTAAGACCTTACTAAAGGCATAATCCCGATCTTAAAGTTAAGGCTATATATCAAACTTGTAAGACCCCTAAAAAGGCATACCCTCGATATAGACCCCGAAACTACTTCACTCGGGAACTGAAAGGCTCCAGCGAAATACAAATAACTACAGTCACAAGGTTGTACCAGCCAAACCAACGCGACTCGGGGATGCCCGACCGTCGCTATAAAATCACAGGCCTTCAATTACTTCAAATATACTTCGAAAAGAACCGGTTAAACAGGCTACCCTTGACACAAGCAAAAGAGCTTCGACCATGTTAGCTCCAAACTACAGGCTTCGAGGTACTCAGCCACCGAGCCAAACCTCCCGAGGTGCTCAATCATCGTCATATAACGACTCACAATCAAGGTTTCTATCGAACCGTCGAAGAGTCAGGCAAACACAATTTCAAAAAGTCCTTAACGAGGGAAAAATAAAGCCTGTAAGAGGTCGGTAAGAGCCATTGTCACCAGCCTATACAAAAGGTCGTACCGATCCAACGCGTAAGAGCCCAAGGGTCAGCCTTAAATTCGAAAACTTGAGGGTCGAATGAGCTCGAGTCGATACCCGACTCAAAGACTGAACCCAAAATAGTTAACTAAATATGCCTAAGGCAAAAGTATAAGAGTTCAAATGTCGGCTTACACTAAAAGGTCGTACCGACCAAGTGCGTAAGAGCCTACGGGCCAGCCCAATGAGCCCCAGGGCCATACCACGAATCTGAAGATTCCTTTTAACTCGAAAACCAATTCATCTGGCTAAACACAAGGCAAAGAGAAGTGCATGAAAAAAAATACAGCCTATAAAAGGTCCCGACATGGGGACTGGGCCCCGAATGTTTGATCTTCGGTCGTCATAAGTCGCTCAGCAATAGCAAGACCCGAGGGTCTAACCCAAGGTCTAAGATCTTGGATCGATTATCAAAAAATATCACACATTACTTCCAAAAGGCAGAGGAAGAAAGAAGTGATAAAAAAACGAAAAGCCTTTTTATATATGCTCACAGGGGTGCGTTTACAAGGCCTTTACAAAACTCTTACAGGAAAGGAGCCAAACAGAATCCTAATCTATCATCGAGCCTACATCTTTTGACGGCTCCGCCGAAAGTTGTGCCCCGACAGTTCCAACCACAGCCCTAGGACCTCCAACGGCCTCTTCCCCTTTAGGGATTCCACCTTCATTCGCATCGTCTCCTAAGCCACTACTCGANGTAGGTATATCCTCGAGAGTCTGCCTCAGAGATTCCAACCGAGCATGCTCCACAGCTCGAGTCAATTTCAATCTAACCTCCTCGGGCACCTTCCCGGCTAGAGCATTTATTACAACGGCATCCTCTTTATGCAAAGATATAAGCACCTCAGCTTCAATTTTGATCCCGGATAGTGCAGCAAATAACTTAGCATGGAGACCTCTATATCTGTCACTATCTGCCCTCATATCATGGAGCTGGCGCCTGACTAAGGCCATCTTTTCCTGGAGAGTATCCCTCTTAGAAGTTATCTCCCTCACGTGCCATTTGAGTTCGAGAACTTCGAAGTCTCTGGCTCGGAGCTTCTCCCTCAGTAGGGCACCTTCCTCCTCAAACTGCACAAATCAGATCAGAGATGTCAGAACAACTGGGATCTAGCAAACATTTAGATAATAGCAAACGGAAACTAGGTAACATGTTCAACAAGATGAGCCTTCTCACGCTCATTACATGTCACCTCAGCCTGGAACCAGGCGAAAGTCTGATTATAAAGTGCCCTGGCATGGAGCCATGAAAAAGACGAGTTAGAGAGAAAAAGATCAGGACGACAGGTAGGATTTGCAAAAACTACCTGCTCACAAAGCCTATTCATCTCACTAAAGACGAGTGAAGCATCAAGCTCGGGAATTCCCTCGAGAGTTTCTAAAGGCCTTTCAAACGCATCTCCACCTCCGATGGGCACCCCCACATTGGAAGATTCTTCATTCTGGGCATCTTGCTTTCCCTTAGGAGGTAAGGCCATTCCCAAAGGGGAATCGCTCACGATAATAACACCAACAGGGTCAATCGAGGCCACCTCTCGTCCCTATAGGGTTTCAGAACTGGGTTCCACCGAACCGCCTACCAAATGCGTCTCAGCTCGAGAGATATTTTGACCATCAACCGGCTCGAGGACATCACCCAATACTTCCCCAGTGGCCTCTCTAGCTCGAAGTTAGATCGCGACGACGTCAAGCTCTGGCTTGGGAACCACTGTCTCCACGGCTTAAGGGTCGATCGGGTTTTCCCCTCCCTCGGACGCTATCAAGAAATTATTTTCCCCCTCGCCTTCAGCTCGGGGACTTCCCGTTGCTTCTGGAGTATGGCTGCTGGGTCGGCCTTAATTTCTTCCACCTTGGTCTTCTTGGATTTCGAAGGCTCATTCGAAGGTTACCTTTGTCTTTTCTTCCTTTCGTCGGGTCTCGAAGTATCCTCTTCGCCTGGCGAGGTTTCCTTCATCAAGGAGACCTCTCCCAGACCTACACGAATGTAAGAAGTAAGCACAGGGAGTGAAGACAATATCAGTAGCAATTCTAATTAAAATGTACGACTGCAGCAGAAGTAAAGGCTCACCATGGTCCTTGGCTTCCCATCGAGTTTGGGATAGATCACGCCACACTCGCTCAGCATATGGGAAAACCGAGTCTAGCCGACCGACCCAGCCCGAGAGGTTCGTGACCACGCTGCGGTAAATTATTATGGCTGCATTAGTAAAAGAAATTAAGCGCGTGGAAAGATGTACCTAAAAAGAAGCAAGGAAGTGCTAGATAACGTATCTACTTACGTTCCATGTTCCACCTTTTGGGGAACGGCATCCTTTCCACCGGGATGAGGTCCGAAGTCCTAACTCGGACAAAGCGGCTCATCCACCCTCCATTCCCAACTTCTTCGATACAAGCAAAAAGGGCCCTCGAAGCTCGGGAGTGGAGCTTGATCAGACCCCTATAAAAGAGTCGGGGGTTGTACATCCTAATCAGGTGATCGAGGGTGAAGGGCATCTCCTCAATCATGTTCATGTAGTACCTAATAATGTAGACAATGCACCAAAATAAAGGGTAAATTTGGCCGAGGGTCACTTGATACCGTTGGCAGAAGTCGAGAATCACGGGGTCTATCGAAGGCAAAGATGGCCTCACCGGCCCAAGGGTAAATGGGTAAGTATACACACTGAGAAAATTGGCTTTGTATGCCGTTATATCCTCCTCCCGATAAGGGATCTCCATAATCACCACATCCCCCCAGCGGAAATCAGTCCTCACCTTTTCCGACATCTGCTATTGAGTTAATATACTAAGACACAGGCTCACAATGCCCCGGCTTCGAAGAAGGTCTCTCGACCTTGAAATCGGAAGCCGTTGCAAAAGATCCTAGAACGCACTCCTCAACACGATGAGGCACTGCTGCTTTGCCTTTAGATAGGAGCAAAGAGTAGGAGGTCACATTCTCCTGAGAAGTAGAGGCTAAAATTTTCGCCATTCCTAAAAGATTTCAGAGAACAAAAGGGAAATTGCGTTTCGGAGAAAGAACAAAAGTGAAGGTAGAAGGAACCTTTTTGGGGGTTGGTGGTGCAGTGAGTTATAAAGAATGAGAGGAAAATTATTTATATAGGCCCCACACATGCGTTGAAGGAGGCCAAAGGACAGCCAACCGATGTAATCAATACGAAGGCTTTCAAGGGCTGTGTGTACGCGATCTTTTGGCGCCTTATGACTGTCATCATTACAAAAGTACCAGAGGAGGTCATTTCTTATCACTTTCACTCTAAGAAACGCGGGGACTATCTGTATGCGGTAAAATCAGAGGGTCCAATTTTTCGTTGTTACGATGCCTCGTAAGCACACTTCACAAGTTCAAGACTATGGTCGAGGTTCACCCCCGAGGGCTATCGACGGTCGACCTCGGGGTAGTGCAGACCAACGGCTATGATGAATAAGCGGGGAGTTCCCAAGGCGCATAGCTAGAACTGACAAAGTCTAGTGAGCTAAGTTCAGACCCGAATCATGGCATCAACTAGTTGTCCCATCTCTATATCTTTATAATAAATGTATTTGTACTATGTTGGGATTCCCCCTCATATATAAAGGGGATCCTTGTCATCTTGTAGGGCATCTGATTGCTCAATACTAAATACACAAGAACATTCTCTCTGCTCTCTAACATATTCTCTTGATCTCATTGCTTTCATTTATTGCTTACATTCATTATATTCTATTTATTGTTCTTCATTTATTGTTTATTATTGTCCATAAAGAGCCATCATTAGTTTTATTATAACTGTTAGTCGTCCATAGAATACCCTCGGCGTGATATTAGACTCGACCCCGAGGCCCCGAATACGCAAGCTCGAGGCCCCGATTGACAGCCATTCGGTTTGGTTAACATCTTGTTTTTAATCTCTTATCTTGATTCCAAGTAGCTCACCTAGCATCTATTGCCCAAACAACTAGCATAAAAATAGATCACCTATATTTAGAACCACAAAATCAAATTTAATTGTAATTATCATTTTCACGGTAAACAATTATGTATTCCATGCTTAAATATAATATCGACATTTTATTATTAGCCCATAGTAAGCATCGGAGTCGACCCCTTGTCACTACTTCTTCGAGGTTTGACTGGATAATTACTGGGTATGCATTAATTTACTTACTCATACTACACTTGCTGCACATTTTTGTGCAGGTACATATATGCCTAGTGGCCTTGTGAGCGTAGAGGCGTGGTTATTACGGGGACTTAGGTGAGTTGCATTCCATGTTACGATTCACAGCCAGCAGAGTCTCCTTCAGAATTATTTATATTTTTCCTGTCTAATTTGTATTCCGGACAGATGCTGTATTTTATTTTGCTCTCTAGTTGATGCTCACGCACTCGTGACACCGATTTTGGTGGTAGTTATGAGCTGTTCAGTATCGTAGTTGTGAAAATATTACCATTTACTTTGTAAATTTTTATCTTTTACTATTTAATTGAAGAAAATTACGATTTCAAAAATACTAAAATAGGTAATGAAGTTAATTAATTATTGTTGGTTTGTCTGACAGCGGTATTAGACACCATCACGACCTATAATGAATTTTGGATTGTGACACTTCTCATAAACTAAAATTCATGAATCTGGTCCATGTTCTTATAATGATTTCAGCGGCCCCTTTTCTCATTTAATAACAAAGCAGCACATTCCTTAAATTGATAAAGGTTGGCCCAACCTTTAAATACCATGGCTGTCCAATATTAATCTGACATGTGCTCCTCCATGATTAGATCCAAAAAAAATCAACTTTCTTCTTAATTTAATAAGTCAATTACTTTTAATAATTAATTGGACGCTAGGCAATTCCTAGGCACGCCTTCAACGGTTGACCATGCGTTCTTACACGATCCTCAGTAAATGTCAATTACTAAAATGGTCACGTGTTCATTTCCGTTTCTTGACTCTTTAATAATAAATTGGGTTTGACCATGTGTTCATACTCGTTCCTTGGCTTAACGCACAGTTAAAAAAGACCTTGTGTGCTTACACGCTTCTAGGTCGACACAATTAATAAAATTTAATTAATTATTAAGCGACAATAGCCATTAATAATTTAAGGTAGATAGCACACAATTTATCCAGAAATATTTGAGGCAAGTTTTATTCAATAAAGCGACCGTGCTAGAACCACGGGATCCAGGGAATGCCTTACACGTTCTCCCCAGTTAACAAAATTCCTTACCAGAATTTTTTTTTCGCAGACCAATAATAAAGAGTCAAATCTTCCTTTGAATAGAGATTCGAATAAACGGTGACTTGGAACACCTAAAAATCAATTCCAAATGGCGACTCTGAACATTAAAATAATTCCTATTTCAAAAATGTTACTTCAATTGGAAAAATGTTTTAATCCACAATCCATGTAATGTTATTTTGCGGGTGGTAAAAAGGGGTGTAATATTTGCCATAGTTGTATGTTCACGCTAACTCAATTATCTGAATTACCTCAACTAAAACTCAGATAATAATAATAATTGCTCAATTTGTTTTAGTATATATAAAAGTCTTTCTTTTAGTTTGTTCCAAAAAGAATGTCACATTATTATATTTAAAAATTATTTAACTTTAAAATGTCAGTTTACCTTTGACCATATGCTCTTAGTCATAGAATTGTTATGTCATATTTAACAACAAAATTCTAATGGTCCTTTTGTTACGTGCAAAAGTCTTTCTTTCTTAAAGTCGATTCATGTCCAATTAAATAACTTTACATTACATATAATAAAATGAAGAAAATACATAAATTACATACTTAATAAAACAATAAATTTTGGAATTTTAATGTTTGAGACTTAAAAAAAAACTTTAATGAACTTGGGGTTGATGTGCCGGTTAAGAAGGTGGACTACAGATTTGTGGCAGATCGTGTTGCTTTACCATCTCTTGTGAGGGATCTCGTTCAAAGAACCAGTCACCAAATACCTTTGCAATTGTCTGTGAAAAACAAAAAAGGGAAATGTAACTTTCACATCTGTGGCTTGAAAATATAAAAGTTTGACAACATTTTCCAAACACTTTGTCTTGCACCCACCTTCTTTACTTCTTTTTTTTTTTGTTCATTTTTAACGATATATTGTACAGAATTCGAAAAACTATGGGAACTATGATTACCTTATTATTCAACAAGTCACTATTACTATTCCAGCTCCAATCATGGTCAGTTTGACAATGCATGAGGCAAGAGTTGATATACATTCCTCTCTGTGAAGGGCTATATGATTTTGGTAATGCACTTAAAAATTCTGCCCCGAAACCTGGAATCAAAAAAAGCAAAAGAATAAGGAATATATATTGCTTTTTGAAGTAATTAGTTATCGTTGTAATCTACTTTCATATCGTAACATGAAGCAATAAAATTATAAGAGATTGTGGCACCTATATACCTTGTAACAACTTTTGCTGATGGGGGGAGCATTTACTTAAGTTTTTCTTACAATTTTCTGCAAAGTCTTGTCGGTCTGCGAATGGTATAACGGTGTCTACTATCTGCAAATATGTATCATCACAAGAGTTTGATACATATATTGATCATAAAGTTTAAACTATAATGGGAGAAATTCGACTGATAAACTCAGAATTAGATATGAATAACTAAGATTATTGTTCAATTGGAAAAGCAATCGAATAAACTTGGTATGACGGAAGATATTGTTTTAGACAATGTTTTTGGGAAAATAAGTCGTTTCCAACTGCAAAATATTTTGGCTAGTGAGTGGATTTTTTTTTTGTTCGAAAAACTGTTTGTTAAAGATTGATATAGATTTAGCAATCAAATATTGTTCTTATAAAATCTTTGAGCGTTAAAGATTGATAATAATGTTTAAATGCTAGTTGGATTAGTGATATGAAAATAATAGTTGAGATAATTGTAAAGGAAAGAACTTACGTCCATAAGTAAGGGATCGAACAATATTTTCCCGGTTTTGGTGGAAGAAATTTTTCTTAACAAATATTATTTTGGTAACCAAACTCAGAAAGAGAAACTTGAAAAACATTTTGCAAAAATAATTTTTGTGATACCAAACTTAGTACTATTGAAGTAACCTGCCATGAATCATACGCAGAATTGAGTATGAAAAGTGGGGTCTTGATATCTTCTTGTATATGTTGTGGGAAGAAACACTGCAAATTATATATATCGAGAAATTGTTACATGATACATATCAAACTAGGTCCACTATGAACTGAGACTGCAAAAGAAATTGCCTTACCGAGGCTGGATTCATTCTTGAAGTACATGATGGGGGCAACACTTTGGCTGAATTCTATAACCCAAAGTAAATTAAAAGAGTGGATGTAAGCATCTTGCACGAGTTTTAAAGATGGTCAAATAAGCAAATGTAGTAAAAGCAATCTGTATTCAGAATCCCATTCTCTTCATCAAACAGACCTTGGCTAACGTGGTATTACAGTACATAAACTCGTTAGCTTAACCCGCAGAGTTTTCTTTTACATGAATTTTAGCCGGGAAAAGACTTCCCGTCTTTTACACGAAGGATCGGAGTTATTATTCGCTTTTTTTATCCTTTAAAAAAAAATTCACATTGCACAAAATTGTAATTTAAATTTTTTCATAATATTTAGGACTTTAAAATCAATTAAAACTTATCAAATATTTTCTTTGTTGAAATATTTATGGGTCCTAATTTTTAGGAATTTAAAATCATTTATAATTTACCTTACAATTCTTTTTCTAATTGAAGTATATAACATAAGTATAATTAGTCGTACTAAAATTGGAAATATTTTAAGGCAAAACGTTGGCTCTACTTGTCAAGAAGACAAGTAAAAAAGAGTCTCTAGGCATAAATTTTTATCGCAAAATATATAATTCGTTTATGATGTTTTATCTAATATTTAATATACATATTCAATTTTAGACAAAACGCTATTCCAAATGAAATGCCATTATTCTTTTTTCAGTTATTTAACAAATGATAAATTCATATATCATTTATATATTTAATTATTTAATATAAAATATTAAGATTAGTCATTTTTAGATTTTATGTTATCACATATCAGTGTGAGCTATAAGGCTAACCTTTTCATTCCCATTAATTCAAAAGATTCAAATTTTAAATTTTTTTTGTTTGAAAAATCTTGTAGAAGTACTTTATGTTTTTTTTGTATTAGGTCATAAATATAACAATTATTTTTATAAAATATTCCCACATAAGTCATAGTAAGGTCTAGGAATTTATGTGGCCAGGATTTCGTTCATTATTGAGTTAGTTAAATGGGGTCAACGTTCGTTATTTTTAGGATTCTTATATTTTTCTGTAGTTTTTATTTTATAAGTCAGACACATAGTTTAATAATATTTATATAAATTTTTAAAATACATATTCATTTATATAGGGTACACGCACAAATCACATAACTTAGCAAAATATTGTTCGCTTTTTTTATNTATATATAATTCTCAATGATCACTTGAAAGATTACTATAATTTCATTAAAATTACCTAAAATAAGACAAATTACCTTCTATAACTAGTTAAAATATAATAGCGCAAAGAAAAAGACAAGTTACCTTCTATTACTGATTAAAATATAATAGCGCAAAAGAAAACCGTAAGCGATAGGATGTGTGTGTGAGTGAGTGGGTGAGAGAGGGTACATGTAAGTTAACCACTCCATCGTAGGTTGATTCCAATATATTGGCTCTCTTGAAATCATTGCTGAAAGAAAGAAAATGTGACTATTGTTATATGTTGCTATCAACAAAATAGAGTATTACATATTATATGATTCAGTGCTTTAGGGTTAATTAGAGTTATGGTAATCTTACTCGAGCAAAAAGTAGGCACCATCTGAAAGACATTTTACTCTAGCTGTGCTAGGTAATAGAGATCGAAAACGATCACAATGGAACATAGTCCCCAACCCACCAGCTGAACACCCAGATAGAATAGCCTGCCATCACAACAGTCAGTGTAAATAGAATTTTAATAATTTAATATATTATATAGCATGTTATTTACTTTATTTTCCAGGTTATTAGGTCTTGTTTGCCAATGCACACCACTAGAACTTCTTTCTTTATTGTAATTTTGTTAATTAAAATGACAAATATCACTAACTGGCCATACATTTGTAGCATTCTTCATTCCTTTGGCTAGTAGTTCGTCCATAATCGCTTGAAAAATCCTTGCACCTCTATAATGTTGATTGGTAACCTGAAATTTTGACATGTTAATATAATTCCCCCTTATATTTGATTTGCATTAATAACAGAAATTAATGTAGTTACTCATGAGATCGAACTGAAAGACGTACTTTATCAACTAATTCAACGTCTCCCGTGTAAGAAGATCCATCACAATATCTGATCATAATTCTGTGCCAATTGTAAAAATCTGGCAATCAAAGCACATAATTGGGTCAAGATAGTTATCTAATTAGAGTTTAAATTATATATACTGTCAAATATGAATAACTTTTTGCATTATTAGGTCACGGATATTTACAGATAAGACTCCTTAAAATGTGAGATTTGTAATCTTGAAAACAAGACTAAGTTATTTGCTGCTAACAGTAACCAGTAACCTAATAATATAAAAATTATTTACACTAACGGTAATACTTAAAGAAGTTTTCACATATCCATACCTGGATTAGATGTTTTAGAGTTGCTTAGCAACCCGTAGAAACTTTTACTGTCAATATGATTAGAGGAGCCATTACTGTAGTTAAACCGCTGTCCACAATCTTCCACACTTCTACACCATCCTCCTCCCTAATGAAGTAGAACTATATTAGTAAGTATGCATGCACTTCTGTCCAAACACGTAACTACTTATTTATCAAATTAATTTCAGCACTTAAAAGTATTTTTAATATTTTATGCGCTTATCATCTACTTTCAATCAGTTAAACCAAATTAACTAGATGCACGAAAATGAAGCTGTGGGGATATATATATATATATATATATATATATGGCTCACCTCAAGCCAAACTATCCAATTATTGACTCCATCTCCAGACCCTTGGTCATAATGGTATGCTGCTGGACTTCCGTCCAAACAAACTGTAATTATTTTATGACCAGGAAAAACAATTAGTTAGTATATATATTACTCTATGAAAGCTGTTTAGTTTAATTTAATAAAGATTAATTAAGATTTAAGGGTTGACCAGCTCCTTTTGAGAAGGCATCTTGAACAAGGGTTTTAGCAACTTTGTTTGGTATAACTTCTGCTTTTACTTTCATTACTGAACAAATCAGTAGGACAATGATCCACTGATACCATCTTGAATCTACCCTTCTGCCAAAAAAAAAATTATTTTGTGAACAAACAAGTGTCAAACAACAAAATGTATTAGAGATCAAGAAAAATACATAAAAAAAATTATGTACGATTTTAAATATCTCTCATTGGAAAAATGTTGCATAAATGTTTTCTTTGTGTTAAAAGGGAGAGAAACTTCATGCTAGATGGGGAAAAAAAGATAACAATAGGCAGAGGTACCTCATTGTAGAGACTTGATCTTGTGTGAGAAAATGGGTTTGTGATGTAGTCATATTGTCTTATTTTGCCTATCCTGAATGTATTTATTTTGTTGTTAGAAGAGGCAACACCAAGAAATGCGGTATTACATTCGTTTATTATTAGTAATTCTCTCTTTATAATATACATCCTCGTATCATTCGTACGCGTATCAAGCATGTTTTTCTAAATATATGTATGGACAAAAACACATCTTTTTGAAAATAGATTGTAGGCATATTAGTATTTTTAAAAATAACAGTGGTGTTTGGAATCTATTGTGTTCGCTTTCATTAATTTACAGAATATCTGCAACTTCCCACCTCGTATCTAACGGGGTCTCCCCATGGTTGGTATAGTTTTGTTGGGAGAAGAAAAATAATAAATGGTGAACGATAGGTGAATTGGCTTATAAAACAAAGTAGGAACAAACAACTAATAGTTAAGTTGAAAAGAACCTAACTAACTAGATTAAAATTATGGAAGATGAAAAATGACAAGCCTCAGATGCCAATTTTCGAGATTGATCAACAAATAATATGGAACTTAGTTTATGCTGTAAAAGCAGTACTTGCTGGGTATGTTAATTATAAACATTCTGGTAGTTTGAGTTCATGAAATTAGCTTACATTTCTAACATGGATTTATGCAGCAGCATATGTACTCCGTTACGTGATAGATTTAAGTAATTCAATCGTAAAATGGGTAACTAACCATATTAAATTATAGTGATAGCATAAAAAAATTGCACTAGCACCGTATATAACTTATGTCCTATTTGATATTGTATAACGAGCCACATATCGTTCAGTAGTCGCTGGCAAAAAAAAAAAAAAAAATTA